ACTGCCCTTGTTCCAGTGAAGTGACTGATAGGCTAAAAATAAGAAGTATAAATCCCAAAGTAAAGAAGTGAAAACATGATTGTCGACAATTCACCCAGCCATATACATGTCAAATCTTGCAAAGAAATTAATTTACTCTGAGGTACTTCTCTCTATATTTTTAAATCAGTAGTATGTGGTATTTCTATCTAATTGTGTACATAAAGACAAGGAGTTTATTGCTAAAACTGAGAAGCCAAATTCTAGAGCTTTATCCATTTAAATAATACTGCATAAGAGTTATCAATTTATTATTAAGAGTTGATAATATTTATTGAGTGATTATACTGGTGCCAAGAACTGTGTTAAATTCTACTTGTAAGTTTGTGTTTAAATATCACTGCAGTCCTATGACGCTCAGAGAAATCAAGTATCTTGTCTAAGTTGCAGGGCTGGACTGTCCTAGCCCGTGCTTGAACTTGAGTCTGCCCAGTTAACAGGACATGTCCCAGATCTCAGGCTGCCCGCTTCCCTCACTGACTGACCTTAAAGACTTGTCTCCCCATCTGACCTTTCCAACAGGGAAATTCTTTTAGCTAGTAAGTTTGGTCTGGAGAGATTGACATTTACCACAAGCCCATATGCTAAGGAATAAAAGCATCTTAGACAGGATTAAGCTGCAAACTAAATCATTCATGTTGCTGCAAATATGAAAATAAACTTGACCCAAAATGCATAAACTAAAATGGATAATCTTATCAAATCAGCGTGTGCTCAGTGGATACTCTATAAAAGTACAGACAACTGTTAAAGAAAATCCAGGGGGTTGTCAATTCTCTCCAGGATATTATTTTGACAGGCAAGTCAACAGACCGCTGTAATATCAAACCAAAATATTATAATGTTCACACCTCCTGCCTCCTGTTTAGCTGTGAAGACAGCATACAGGACTTTGGAACAGAATAAAAATGCTAATGTTTTTTTTCTGGTCCAATCATTGCTCCATATTTAACATTTCTCCAAAGCATTTATTTGCTTTCTCTCCAGCAATGATGTATGGTGTCCCTGGAAAATAGCATGCCCTTTTCTGTGGACTCAGTTTCTGCACATCACAACCCACTAGGGCAGAGTAGAACTGCCTAACTAGGTCTGCTCGACTGTAATCATCATGGAAGCAGCCAGGCCCATCTTTCTCCCAAGTCCCAACCACCTGATCGTTTTCCATTTGCAGCCAAGCGCTCAGCCTGGGTCACAAGGCCTCCTGGAAAATAACCTAACACCTACAATCCTGGCACACGTGCTTCCTCCTGCCTGCATGCTTACTTACTACAATGGTTTCTTGAATTGAAAGTGGGTTTTTTTTTTTCACTCCCAGTCTTACTCTCTAAACCTGAAACTTAATTCTTCCACTGTGTAATTAAGGCTATGCCACCATAGCTTATCTTATTTTTATTTTATCCACATTATATTGTATAGACACACATGCACACCAACAAACAATGTCTTTTACTTTTTAAAAGAAAACCCTAAGCCTATGGGATCATGATTTAGACTCAGAATATACCTATCACTTAATACCACGCCAAAGTCAAAATGAATTTTTCTTGTGGTCACAGAATCTCTATAAGCTGATTTCCAGAGTCTGTGTCATTGTTAATAAGCATGCCAGATGACAAGAATATCTTTTGGGTACTCAAATGTTCTCACAGGAACACTCAAACATGAGAGAAAAATTCCAAGTTATCCCCAAAGTTAAGCCAATGGTTTTAGGGATCCATGCAGCTACTGTACAAATCAATTCATCTGTGACAGCATTTTAATTTTGGCAAGTATATCCATTCAAATTACAAGTAAATTCCCTGCCGTTGAGGTGGTTCTGACTCATAGTGTCCCTGTCGTCACCCTGTGCGTTTTCATGGCTGCAAATCTTTACAGGAGCAGAAAGCTTTATGTGTCTCCTGCGGGGTGGTCTGCGGGTCTGAACTACAAACCTTGGGATGAACAGCCCAACTCGTACCTCACAATGCCACCAGCCCTCCTGATTTATCCACTAGGCTACAGACAACAACATGCTTAAATTGATGAATGCTACATACTAACTATAAATCCTAAAATAAAGAAAAAGCCACTGACATGTAATGGCGTTGTTGAAAGCCAAGCCAATGTCTAAAGACCATGTCAAAAATCATTGAGTGATTTTCCTCAACATGTGGTCAATACTAGCAATCAGCTCAATGGAGAGCACCTTTACATAAGACATATGGAAGACGGTAAGGGCAGTTTTTTAAACATCTCAAGGAGACTAAAGCCAGCTTTGTATTAATATAAATAGTATACATTTATATGGTCAGATGAAAACCAGTACATCTCGATATGTGTACATGTGTGTATACATACAGAGAGCAGTTCTAGGAAAGTGTGGGAAATGGGTACAAGAAAAACCATGAGAGGGCAGTAATAATTAACAGGGTCCAACTATAGGAGTGCACCA